TAAACTGGTGTACTCCACACACATCCTCCATTTTCCATTTTTCTTCTTGACTAACATAGGATTAGCTAACCACTCTGGATGGGACACTTCCTTAATGAATCTAGCCACCAATAGCTTCTGCACCTCCTCGCCGATGGCCCTGCGCTTCTCCTCGTCGAATCGGCGCAGGCGCTGCTTCACTGGTCTGGAGTCGGCCCGGATATTCAAGGCGTGCTCGGCGACCTCCCTCGGTATGCCCAGCATGTCCGAGGGACTCCATGTGAACATATCGGCATTCGCGCGGAGAAAGTCGACGAGCACGGCTTCCTATTTGCTGTCGAGGGTGGCGCCGACCCTCAACGTTCGGCCGTTGGAGCAGTTGGGGTCGACCAGGATGAGCTTGACGGTCTCTACGGGCTCAAAAGTCCCGGCACGATGCTTGGAGTCGGGCACTTCGCTACCGAGTTGGTCGAGGTTGACGATGAGGGCCTCGGCCTCCATGATAGCCTCGGCATACTCGATGCATTCGACATCGCAGTCGTATGCATGCTCGTATGTGGACTCGATGGTGATGACGCCGTTGGGGCCCAGCATCTTGAGCTTGAGGTAGGTGTAGTTCGGGACCGCCATGAACTTGGCGTAGCACGGGCGCCCCAAGATAGCGTGGTAGGTCCCCTTGAACCCAACCACCTCGAAGGTGAGGATCTCCTTGCGGTAGTTGGAGGGAGTGCCAAAGCAGACTGGCAAGTCGATGCGCCCGAGGGGTCACGTGCGCTTCCCCGGCACGACACCGTGGAAGGGTGTGGCACCGCCTCGGAGCCGTGACTAATTGAGCTCTAGGAGCTCCATGGTGTTGGCGTAGAGGATGTTGAGGCCGCAGCCTCCATCCATCAGTACCATGGTGAGTCAGGTGTTGCCGATGATTGGATCGACGACGAGCGGGTACTGCCCGGGGTTTGGGACATGGTTGGGGTGGTCCTCCCGATCGAAGGTGATCGCCTCCCGAGACCAGTTAAGGTACTGGGGAGTAGCTACCTCAACTGAGAAGACCTCCTGGCGTTCCCTCTTTCGTTGACGCGCCGTGAGGCACGCTGAAGGCCCACCGAAGATCATGAAGGCATTGTGCACCTCGGGGAACCCATCGTCCTTGTCGTTGTCTCCGTCGCCGGCGCCCTTCTTCCTAGCATCATCATTGGGGAGCCCGAGCTTGGCATAGTAACGTCGGAGCATGGTGCATTCTTCGAGGGTGTGCTTTACTAGGCCCTGGTGGTAAGGGTAGGGCTTTTTGAGCATGTCGTCGAATATTCCGGGGCCTCTAACAGGGCCTCGGGGGTTCTTGCGATTAGCGGCTGCGACGAAATCGGCCTCGAGGGCCTCTAGCTTCCCTAGGCACCCCTTTTTCTTTTTCTTCGAGAAACGGGAGGCCGAGGCCACGGGGGTCTCGTCCCTCCGCTTCCCCTTTGCGTCGCTATCGGGGAAGATGGCCCCGACAGCCTCTTCGCTCGAGGCGAAGTTGGTGGCGATGTCGTGGAGTGCGGCCGCTGAGGTTGGTACGTTCCGGCCTAACTCTCGGACCAGGTCTCGGCAGGAGGTGCCGGAGAGAAAAGCCTGGACAACTTTCGAGTCGCCGACGCTGGGCAACTCGGTGCACTGCTTGGAGAATCACCGGATGAAGTCTCGGAGAGACTCGTTCGGCTTCTGGCGACAACTCTTGAGGTCCCAGGAGTTCCCGGGGCGCACGTACATGCCCTGGAAATTCTTGACGAAGATCTTTACCAAGTCGCGCCAGTTGTGGATCTGCAAGGGAGGGAGGTGTTTGAGCCAGGCTCGCGCTGAGTCCGACAGGAACAAGGGGAGGTTGCGGATGATGAGCAGGTCATCATTCGCGCCGCCTAGCTGACAAGCCAGGCGGTAATCAACCAGCCACAACTCGGGGTTGGTCTCGCCGCTGTATTTTGTGAGGTTGGCCGGTTGTCGAAACCGGGCGGGGAATGGGGCGCCGCGGATGGCCTTGCTAAAGACTCGAGGGCCAGGCAGCCCAAGAGAAGGACTGCGGTCCTCGCCACTGTCGTAGCGGCTGCCTTGGTGCGGGTGGTAGCCTCGGGCGGGCCCATCATCGTCGTGGCGTCGTCGCCTGCTGACCACATCATGGTCGTCTTGCGCCTTGCGTCGATCGCTAAGGCGGTCGTGCATTGAGGGGGCCTTGAGGCGATCATGCACCGAGGGCCATTTCGAGGTGTCCCCACGTCGTCGAGACGCGGTGCTTTCGGCCTGCTATACCGCGGCGGTCTCAAGAAGGTCTTGGAGCTTGCCACGAACCCATCGCCCCTCCGTGGTAGAGGGCTCGGGCATCGCTCGGACTAGCATCGCCGCTACTACGACGTCCCAGCTAGCGCGATTGAAGATTGGGGGTTGCTCACTTCCTTCGTCATTGTTGATGCGGCGGTGCACATCGTGGGCCCTCTGCCAGGCCCTTCCGCCATCACCGCGACCTCGCTGCTCCTGCTCGAGAGTGTCTCGGAGCTGCTGCAGCAGGAGTCGGTCTTGGTCGACTTTTGCCTGGAACTCACGGAGCTGCTCCAGGTCCAGGCGTCGGAGTTCCTCAGGGGCGGCGTTCACGTTCCGTGCTGCCCGAAGCTCGACGAGCAGAGGTGTGGCGTCGTCCGCGCCTTGGCGAAGCGGGGAGCGGTTACCTGCCCCTTCACTCTCATTACTTGCCCCTGGCATTCCGAGCCCGATGTGGAAACACTCTCGAGTGGGATCGTAAGTGCCTTCGTCATCGGAGTCGGAGTAGCCGAAACAGTAGTCGCTTGCGGCCAAGAAGCGGCGCATGTCCTCAGGGTCGTGAAGCCCGAAGAAGTTCGCTCTGGCCCACGCCTTGTCCTCCTCCAAGGAGTCAGCGTGGGTGTGGGTCGAGGTTGTGGTGGAGAAGTCGAGGGCGAATCGTTGGTGGCGTCCCGAGGGCTCCGCATGTGCGGAGGCATAGGCGGAAGCATAGGTGGCGGTGATGTTGTTTAGCCTAAAGGGATACGGGGATGGTGCCACCGCTAGGTTCCGCTCCGCCTGAGTCGATTTCTCAGGATGTGGCGGGGCAGAGCTTGATGACGAGACGTCGCTGCGCGCCACTAGCGTCTTTCCCCTGCCCAGGCTTAAGCTAGACAGGTCCCCAACCAAGGACTCAGTACCAACAGCGGGCATGGGATGCCAGCGGAGCGCGGCGCGTCGCCCTGAGCTCGTGTGGTGTCGAGGTAGTCCCATTCACGTCGTGCCTGGCGAGCGCGATGAGAGCGGCGGCCCGGGCGCCGCCTGCGCCTGGGCTGCTGATGCGTGACGTCATCGTCGGTTGGTGGGGCTCTGGGTGTGAGGAGTACCATATCGTACTTACATCCTAGAGACATGAACTCTAGGCTCTTAAACTAGACCACCGTGCCGAGACATAGTGGGCGTATGGGGCCAGCCATCCGAAACTTGTTGGGACGATCAAGCTAACACGCAGAGGGCCCCTACCTGGCGCGCCAACTGTCAGTGTTTCGGACCAGGGGGTCCTCAACCAACTAGTAAATGTGAACTACGTGCCCCTAATCCTAGAAGGTAATGCAAGGAGACACAAGGTTTATACTGGTTCAGGCAATCGATGCCCTACGTCCAGTCTGAGAGATCGATCTTGTATTCCTTGCACCGAAGTGCTTGTAGTAGGGGGTTACAAGCTGGGTGAGAGAGGGAACTGGTCCCAGTACTCAGCATGGAGCGGTGTGGGCTGCTTGAGATGTTGCTCTTAGGCAGCTAGGGAGAGTGTGTGTCTACGTGAGCCTATCTCGGTGAGCTCGTGAGTGCCTCTCGTCCTAAGAACGGCCCCGGTCTCCCCTTTTATAGTTGAAGGAGGGACAGGGGTGATACATGTGTTCGCCATGCGGTATGGTCAACGGAGTGGTCTTGTCTGAGTCCTGTAGCTTGCCTGAGTCCAGTAGCTTACTACTATAGCGGCATGGTCAACGGAGTGGTCTTGTCCTTGATGTACTGGTGCAACGCGCCGGTCACACCCGATCTCGTATGACGTAGGTGCTCCAGTGACAGCTTGACGTAGGGCATGGCCGACGATGTGCTGGTCGCTATGGGTTGACGGTGAAAAGAGCCGAGGCTTACTTGGTGCCGAGGCCGAGCCATCGTGGGGAGCTCGATGGGCACGAATCCTGAGGCTACCGAGACCCTGAAGTGGATTGCCGAGGCTTTGGAGGGAGCAGTTGGTCTCATGCACCGATTCCGAGGCTATAGTGACCCGTACCTGCTTCCCCATGCCGTGCTACTCCAGGAGCAGGAATTAGGTAGCACAGTGCAGTACGGGTGCTAGGCATGGGCACAGTGCTGAGCACAGTAGTGGCCGGTAACCCCTGTTCTATCCTTTCTCACGTCGCGTCGGCCACCCTGTTGTACTGCGCCCACATGCGGCTGACGTCGCGGGAGTGGTTGGACGCGTGACGTTTTGTCATAGAAGTCGGTCGAGGCAGAGGCGACGAGGTTGTTGCCGAGCCAGCCTCGAGCGAGTCGGAGAATCGGTACTTCGTCCGAGGCTTCACTCGTGGGGCCTCGGGCGAATCGGAGAATTGGTAACCTGTCCGAGGCCTTGCGGGGTGGGGCCTCGACACGAGAGGGCCTCGGCGAGAGGGCCTTCGGCGAGGCGGAGAGTCGTTGCAACGACGGGCTTCAGGCGAGTCGGAGAATCAGCCGAGACCCTGTGATTGTCCTTTGGCTTTAATATTTGCAAGGTTTAAGCGATCTTCTTGGTTCTTGCTTAGGGTACCCCTTTTTATGGTACCCGACAAAAATCTTTAGAAACAAAGCTTGGCGAAGCACTTGAGCATGATGACCGGAGAAATAAGAATGTCAAATCATGACTTACCCAATTCAAATATCACAATAAAAAGGGAAAAGGAAAAAAATAAACAACTATCTGGGAAAATTTGCTGAAGTCAACAACGTGTGGCAAACAAGATTTCTTGTTCTCAGCAATAAGAGTTTTAGATTCAAAATCTAAAACAGGATACATCATCAGCAAAATAATCACAGCATCAAAACACAAAGATATCATAACTTAACACTTACATCAGCTTACGTTCAACAAATATATCAAACGTAGGATTCGCCTCACTGGTTGCATACTCCTACCACAGCAAAGGTTCAACGACAAAGTTGTTCTTACACATTAACAACGGCATAGCACCAACTTCATCCTGCCCGGTTCAATATTTACAAATGTCAAAAGGTCTTTTAAAACCTCACCCCTCAACTAAAAATCTAAAAACTAACCACAAAGACAACTAAAATGGATGATCACCAACATCGTCATCTCTAGCACTCACTTCCTCATGCTTGTTCTGTTCCCTCTGCTCCTTTTCATCAGCAGCAATTTCCTTCTCAAGCTGCTACAAAAATAAAACCAAATGATAGAGTATAAAATAAAAAGAAAGAAAAAAATCAATCTAACCTTCTCCATCTTCTTCTTTGCCTTCATGAAAGCACACTCTGCCACCTAAATTCCAATATTGGTTGAAATACTTCTTGCAAAGCAATTGAGTCCGAGAAGAAACTTGACTCAACGACTCCACAGAAGAAAACTTATAATCTTTATCTAGCATTTGCTGATACAAAGGATCTTTTACCTCTTTCATCAAATGGAAAAGTGCACGAGTTACATACACACAACTCAGATCAGCACTAGTCTAAATAACAGTTGGCAAATCCTCATATTGACGGCACAACCAAGCAAATAATGGATCAAATTCCCCAAGTTCCCAGCAAGGATCTTCTGGCTTCGCACCAAACTTGTCATAGCAATTCTTGCAAAGTTCCCATAGACAATTACACTTGTCATGAAAATTTTGATCTTTCTCAGCAGACTTCTTCTCAAGGTAATTTTTCTCCTTCACAACCTTATCAAAATCTTTCTTCAAATTATCAAAATCTTCAGTCTTTGTCTCAAGCTTGGCCCCAACAGAGATACACTTTGAATCCATATTATGGAGAGCTTCAGTTGTTTCTACTCTTTCTTTTTCTTTGGCAGCAAGCTGAGATTTCAAAGACTTAATTTCTTCAAGCAAACCCTTCTCACGAAGTGTCGCATTCTTCGCATCTTCTTCAAGAGATTTACGCAAACTCCTTTGCAAAAGAGCAGTCTACAAAATTCAACACCCTAAAATATTAAGTCGCGAAGCCAAATCAATATACGAAGTCAGACAAAAACATACGTAGAACTACGAATGCATCATCAATATACTTTGACAACTTTATCTCTGACTTCTTTGACATAATGTGAAGTCTGTCCAAGCCAATCCCAACAAATTTAAAAGTGTCTAAATTCACACCTTGAGCTTGGCAGTACTCCATGCATCTTTTATACGCCTCAGGGTCAACTCCACCAGGATTTGTTTCTAAGGCTTCGGCAGGAGTAGCAGGTTCCTGAGCCACATCCTTCATCTTCCCAATATCAACAGTAGTCTTCTTCTAAGACAAAGGATAGGAAAAAAAATCCTCTACACAAAAAGAAACAAAGTTTAAAGTAAGAACAGAAAATTAAAACACAAATCAAACAACACACAAATAAAAAACAAACTTACCTATAGAAACACCCTTTTCAAGTTGACATGCAACTTTTTCACCAGTGTTCACATCAATTGTAGACTCAGTCAGACAAGAAGCCCGAGCATTTTTAGCCTCTTTGTCAAACACATCATCATCAGAATCATCAAAATCAAGGGTAACAGTAGTAGTACCCTTACCCTTAAGAGCCTTAGCTTTTGGAGCATCAGTCTCCACAACCCCACCTCCTAAATCAGAATCTTGCATCACAACTCGAGGAGGTGAGGCAACATGAAGAGTAACACCAACATATCCTACAATTCCTATGGAGTTTCAGCAGCAAATCTTGGAGAAGACGGCTCTGCAGTTTCCTGTGAAGCCATAATCACAATCTCACCTTCTTCAGTCTGTGCCCCAGCGGCAGCAGAAGCAACAGTAGCACCAGCATCAACAATAGCAGATGAAGAAGGCAAAGTGTCTTTGCCAATATTTTTCCAAGGCGAAGACAAGTTCCCTTCACCAACATTTTCATCAGAATGAAAAGTACTCGCCAAATTCTAGAAATAGTCACCAAGCCGAGTCAACATTGGCGGAGTCAAACCACTAGAATTAAAAACTAAACTAATCATTCTCACCTCATCATCACGAGCTTGTTGACTAAGAACCTCTTGGCTGTCAACATCAAGACCCAAATCAACTTCATCTTCTACAATTTTTTCTGAATCAAAAGAAGCTGAAACCTTCTTTTTCTTGCTAGTCCTCTTAGCAAGTTGACCACCAGCTCTTTTCTTCTTTGTAACATTTTCTATGCTCGGCTTCGTTGCACGAGTATACGCTGGTGGAGGTCTTTCATCATATTTGATCTGAGCAGTTTCAAATATTCTATTCAGACTCTTGTAATCTGTTCCAAGAATTTTGTCCATCAAATCTTTCTCTTTCTTCAAAAATTTGCCCAAAATCTCAACTGCCTTAACTTCAGTAGCAGAAACAAAATCTTCATCTCTTGTATACTTCTTCAGGCGAAAAGCTTCTTTGTCATGATAAAAATAATCTTTCCCCCTCACAACTTTCTTATGAAAATGAATAAAGCTCCAACCCTTCTTGAGAGGCCAAACTCGAGCTGCAATATATTCTTCGCAAAGATCACGAGCACTTTGCAGACTAGCAGTCAACTTGTAAGCCTTTTCATAAATCTTTTAATTCCTTGTAGTCAGAAATTCTGGCTTGCAATAAAAACATTTTTCCCATCTTCGTAGCCAATGGATAGTGCTTCACAATCTTCTTTGACTCATCCCTTTCTTCAACCATTGGAACTGTATGGTAAAACCAGTAACTATACCAATTTTCAACCCGTTTATTCTTGGAAGCAGGAGAAATTTGCTTAGCACCTCGAGCAGGTTTAAAACTCCAACAACCAAAGTACTTGATAACAGTCTTCCCATCCACATTCTTATTCCTAAACTGAGTATGCATCTCATGAAGAGCACAAAAAGCCCTGATGTCCAAGTTTACATCTTGAGACTTCATGCCCAAAAAAGAGCAATCTTCGCTATTCCAATAGGAGTCAAATGATGCATTTCTATGTTATATACATTTAGAAGTTCTTCAAGAAAATCTTAACATGGCATACGAAGTCTAGCAACAAATTGATCCCGAAAAACCACACATTCATAAGGTTTTGGATCAGGAATTACTTTACTTCTAGGCAAACGAACAAATGCCCTCTCCACCATCCGATTAGTCACCATCCAATCTAATTCTTTATCATCCATCAAAGTTTTGCCAAACTTCAAAGACTTTGTATCATCACCGACCAACTCAGATTCAGATGCAGAAACATTTGATAAATCTTCGCCCAAATCAGACTGATTAGATCCAACCGGAGAATTTACAGAAACATCCTTCTCTTAATCAGACATCTAGAAAAAGAAACATCTCAACAAGATAAAAATAATAAACAAAAAAGAAATAGAAACAAACGGATCAAAAGACTAACCTTAGTCAATCAAATTTCACCTCTGGAAAGAAATAATCTTTGGAAAAGAGTTTTGGCTTCGCTAAAAATTTTGACTTCGCTTCAAAGAAAACTCCAGCAGTACCTCCCCGTCTTCAACAAAGTAGCAAAAACAGGGGGAGGGAATGAAGTATATATAGGCGGCTTCGGGTCAAACCTAACGATTCAGCTTCCGTAGGTCAGAAATGACCGTTATAATTCAAAAAACAACTGTTCAAAAGTCTAACGGCTATAAACGGCTAACTCCAAAGTTCAGGACGGCGTTTTCTGTCTTCGTTTTAAATCCAAACTTCACGGGATCCAGCCCTTTGGAGTAGGCCTTCGCTCGCGAGGGGCTGCTGTTAGGGATTTAACTTCACCAAGAAAACTCAGCCCCTAGAACTTTGGAGTTGAAATTGTGATTTCTATAACAAAGTTTACTTGTAGGAAAAAGAAGTGATGCGAAGGTGGAAATTTGACTTCGCCAGAAAGATTCCGTCTTCGCTGAAGAGATCTCATCTTCACTGGTGAAAAGAAGAAGGCAAAGTTAGGCGAAGACAAGAGTTTGACTTCGCCTAACATTCTAGAAGAAGAAGAAAACCAAGACAGAAATCGACTGAGTCCAGAAGACGAAGACATCAATAAAATTGATGTACAAAAATTGAAGAACGAAGACTCAAAAGGGAAAAAAGACCACTTCGCCCTTATAGTTGAGAAGGGTTGTAACTATTTGAGTTGGGGGTAAAATAGTCATTTTATATAAAGTACGAAGACTAGGACCCCTATAAATACCCCCTCTGACATATACAGTACGATCATGAAATGAATACAACTTTAACTTGTGTTCAGATTTTGATGCTTGAGTAACTTCTTTACCCAACAATCATATACCATTGATCCCTGGTGCTCAGCCAGTCAACGTGAAGCCATATGGATATGCTCCCCAACAAAAGAATGAGATTGAAAAGCAAGTATCTGAGATGTTGCAGTCTGGGATCATAAATTACAGTGTCAGCCCATTTGCATCTCCAGTATTGTTGGTCAAGAAAAAAGATGGATCATGGAGACTTTGTGTGGACTACATATAGGCATCTGAATGCAATCACAGTGAAAAATAAGCACCCCTTACCCATTGTAGATGAATTATTGGATGAGTTGTCTGGTGCTTGTTACTTCTCCAAATTGGACTGCAGGTCTGGCTATCATCAGATCAGGGTAATGGAAGGAGATGAGCTGAAGATTGCTTTCAAAACACAGTGGATTATATGAGTTCAGGGTTACGCCATTTGGGCTGACCAATGCTCCAGCTACATTTCAAGGAACCATGAACACAATTGTTGCTCCATTACTAAGAAAATGTGTCCTGGTATTTATGGATGACATTTTGGTTTATAGTAAATCCTTGACTGATCATATTACTCATCTAGATCAAGTGTTTCAGATCTTACACAATAATAGCTTTCTGTTGAAGAGGTCCAAGTATGTGTTTGCTGAACAGTCTTTGGAATATCTTGGCCACATTGTATCCAGAGCTGGAGTAGCAACTGAACCTTCAAAAGTTGAGGCAGTAAACAAGTGGCATGTTCCCAAGTCAATCAAGCAGTTAAGAGGCTTCCTGGGATTAACGGCTGTTCCAATTAAGGATGGCAAGTCAATCAAGCAAACCGAAACCGAAGAGGCTTCACCAAAACTGGATACCCGATGGATACCCGAAACTATATATACACATATTCACATGTATAAACAAGAGGCAACAAATAATAAATATTTTCATGAGTCAACTTTAAATAAATTAATAATCTAAGAAACAAAATATTATTATATTAAAAACATGAGTTTTAATTCCAAATGATTTATTTGGATATCCAGTGGAGATCCACGGGTGGAAACTCAACTACTTTGAAGAAAAAACCGTGGGTGAAAAACCATCCCCAAACCGAAACCCGCAGTTTCAATGGGCAATCTCTACTCAGGAAGCATTTGACCTACTGAAGTCTGCTCTAACTTCTGCACCAGTTTTGGCTATACCTAATTTTGAAGAAACATTTGTTATTGAGACTGATGCTAGTGATAAAGGGATGGGTGCTGTATTAATGCAGAATGGTCACCCAATTTCATTCCTGAGCAAGGCCTTTTGTCCTAGGAATTAAGCACTGTCCACATATGAAAAAGAGTGCTTAGCATTGGTTATGGCTGTGGAGAAATGGAGGAGCTATTTGCATGGCAAGGAATTCATCCTTAGAACTGATCACAGAAGCCTGTTACCTCTTACTGAGCAAACAATGACATCTAGGCTACAGCAGAAGGCCCTCCTAAAACTCATGGATTTGCAGTATAAGATACAGTACAAGAAAGGTATCACTAACACAGCAGCTGATGCTCTATCCAGAATGCCTGAACAGGATGTGATCCTTTCTATATCTATGAGTACCCCAGCATGGCTGGAGACATTACAGCAAGGTTATGAAGACGACACTGAAGCCAAGCAGCTTCTTACTGAACTGGCCTTGAGTTCTCAGAATGATAAAGGTTATACCTTGGTTGATGGTATCATTAAGTATAAAGGAAGAGTGTGGGTTGGTAATAATACTCTGGCACAGCAGTACATATTGTAGGCCCTCCATGCTAGTGGGTTGGGAGGACACTCTGGGATCCAAGCTACTTACCATAGGGTAAAAGCTCTTTTCTCTTGGCCAAAGCTCAAACAGGTGGTGACTGATTATGTTCAGAGCTGTACAGTTTGCCAGCAGGCTAAGGTGGAGCATAACAAGATACCAAGCATGCTTCAACCACTCCTAATTCCAGATTCTGCATGGTCTATTATAAGCATGGACTTCATTGAAGGGTTACCAAAAGCTGGGAAACATGATATCATACTTGTGGTGATAGATAAGTTCACCAAGTATGCTCATTTCTTGCCTCTATCTCATCCTTATACAGCACTGACAGTTGCTCAGCTGTACTTCAGTAGTATTTACAGGCTACATGGGTTACCTAAGGCAATTATATCTGATAGAGACAAAATGTTTACCAGCACACTTTGGAAAGAGCTGTTCAAGTTGTCAGATACCCAATTGTTGATGAGTTCATCATATCATCCACAGAGTGATGGTCAAACCGAGAGGTTGAATCAGTGCCTGGAAGCTTTCCTCAGATGCTCAGTTCATGCTTGTCCCAAAGAATGGCCCAAATGGTTACCACTTGCTGAGTATTGTTATAACACCAACTTTCATTAAGCCCTGGGGACAACTCCATTTGAAGTATTGTATGGTCATCCTCCCAGAAGCTTGGGTATTCCGAATCCTACTGCAGTATCCATCAGTGATCTGTCTGCTTGGCTGACTGAGAGGAATTTGTTGCATAAACTGATTCAGCAGTAGTTGCTTAGGGCTCAGCAGCGTATGAAGAATCAGGCAGATAAGAAAAGATCGGAGAGGGAATTCAAAGTTAGAGATATGATTTATCTAAAGCTCCAACCTCACATCTAGTCGTCAGTGGCATTCAGAAGCAATCATAAACTTTCATTCAGGTTTTTTGGGCCATTCAAGATCATAGCCAGAGTGGGTGTTGTAGCCTACAAATTGGATTTACCACAGACTGCCCAGATACATCATGTGGTGCATGTCTCACAGTTGAAGTTGCATATCCCTCCTAATACTGAAGTTTTACAGTCACTGGATACAGTTGCTACTGATCCTGCAGTACCTATTTTGCCAGTTCAGGTGTTGTATGTTCAGGACATATGGTTGGGTGGAAAGCTGAAGCAAAGGTTGTTGGTGCATTGGGACGGGCAGCCACCATCTATGGTGACTTGGGAAGATGTTGCTGACATGAAGAGGAGATTTCCCACAGCTTGGGGTCAAGCTGTTGCTAAAGCAGGGGGTAATGTCATGACCAAGATAAGGCCCGTGAAGAAGACTAGGAGAAGCTCCAAGAGTGGCTATGCTCTTCATCGTTATGTTGATAGCTTTGTAAGCTGGGCTTGGCCCGTGTAGGTGTAGGGGCTCGTCCCATGTAGTTGGTCGGTGGCTGCGACGGTATATGAGTCGCTGTAACAAATTCTGAAGGCTTATCGAATAACAGAACTCCAAACTGTTCCCCAACTACCTCTGATCTCCACCCCACCTCTCTGCTGTTCTTGCTACTCTTCCCCTGTTCTTGCTTCTCCAATCCCCAAATCTGTCGGTTCCTGTATCTTGGTTACTCAGGATTGTTACACCCTATTCTCCAAGGGACATCACGACGATGACGTGTGCAGAATCACTGGACCATCAGCTGCAATCGGCATGCGCCTTCTTAGACCCCCGAATCGATGTCTACAACTTAGCCGGCAACATTCGGATGGATGATCGCTTCCTCATTCATCGTTTGCATGCACCAAAGGAGGACAGTTTGAATGAACTCAGGACGCCGAACAAAGATTGTGTTTGGTTGGTGGTGCAGCGTGGCTTTGGCTCTCTTGGCCCCCCATGTTCTATAGAAAATATTTAGAGCCCGTTTGGAGGGTTTCTCCCGGCTTTGGCTCCTCCACTGT